ATATAAATTTTAGATGTATAAATATTAGTGCAAATAAAGAGAATGCAAAGTGAAGACATGTTATTTTCTTCTTGCTTTTTGAAAAAAAAAAAAATTTTATGACGAGTTAGTTAGATATAAAATTTTATATATGTTACAAATTTTGAAATTTTGAATATAATTTTTAAAAAAACTAATTTTTATATATATATGAAATAAGTAAAATTATTTCGTATATCGCATGAATCACAATCTAATTTTGGTGAATAAATAAGTAGCTAAAAAATGATCCTAGCATCTAAAAATTCTTTTGCACATATAAAAGTCCTTTGTATAGTTTGATTTGAGAAGATTTATTATGTAAATAGTAACTGAAGTAATTTGATTTAATTTTTAAACAAATAGATTTTTGCAAGAAAGAAATAGCGTTTTGAATCATATATCATATATAATATTATATTATAACATACATAAAAATATGATAAGATTTATTTTTGTGGACGTTTAGATAGACAATCTATATTATTAGCACATGGGATAATTCTAAATAACTTTATTCAATAAATTATTCAATTTTTAAAAATTTTAAAATTTACATTTATCCAAGTCTTTCAAAGTATATAAGCTTTATCCTAATTTAAATCCAAAAACCATATATTGTATCTCACTCTTACTCATAAATATTAAATACAAAATTCAAATAGTTTTTAAAAGTTAAATCTCTAAATCTTAAAAACCATAAAAAAGCATACATCATCTAAATCAATATTCACATAAATTTAAATAAATAAAGTTTGTGGTTGCACTATTGTTTGCAAATTTTTTTATCTTTATTTTTCTATGATGTAAAATAAAAGAGAAAATTATTTTATTTGAATTTAAAATTACACATATTTAAATTTTAAATTATATTTTGACCAAATTATTCACAATTTTGTCCAATAGTTAAAATCATAAATCTTGATTTAAACTTACAATCATATTACAAAGTAGTTCGTTTCTTCTTAGAAAAAAAAAAGAAAACAAACATTTATCATGTAATAATTTAGTAATCAAAAGTCATACACCACTCTTCTTTTGGCAAATTTGGAGTTTGAATAGTATTTATATTGGTCTTGATATGCTAAATTTAATTATAAATATTGTGAATTTATTTGATTTTTATAAAAAAAATTTTAATTGAAAATCATATAAATAATAACCTTTATCTCCATTAATTGGATGGTAAATCCTAATTATTAGGCGAAATTTCTTTTTATTTTCATTGAAATTTCAAATTAAAATTTATAAATTTACTACCTATAAAATTTTAAAGAAAAGCAAAATTAAACTTTTCAACCTATGAATAATATGTGACATGCGTAAATCTTAGTTTCCACACTAAAATAATATAAGAGTGTTTGTAATTGTGAATAAGAACTTGATTTTTTCATTGAGTTTTGTATGTAATTTTATTTTCATAATTCAAAGAAATTTTATTGAAATTAATTTTTGTAAAACTTGCATAATGGTTATTTGGCTTCTTTCTTAATAATTTATATATAGATAATTTTTTTAATTTTTACTAAAAATTATAAATGATTATGAATATTTTTATTTATGTATAATATAAAAATTAGTATAAATTAAAAGTTTAAATTATGAAAAGTATAATAAAAAGGTCTGTGCATGGGCACGAGTAAGAAAACTAGTAATATTATATTACAAGATATATAATTATGATATGATAAGATTTATTTATATATAATTTTATGTGAACAATCTATATTATTGACACGTAAGATAATTTTTTAATTGTTATTGCTTATCAAATATCCTTATTATATAAATTTTAAAAATATTTCAAATTTAAGAAAATTAGATTTATCCAAATCTTTTTATGTTAAATAATTTATATTATTTATCTTCATTTAAATGAGATAAGATTATCATGATCATTTCAATGAAAAATTAAAATCTCATTTCAAATTAATTTGAACATTTTTTATAAAACATGTACATATTTTTTTAGATTACATTTAAACTATTTAAGTACATTGTAAAATTTTTTTAAAGTTTTGGACGTTATTTATTTATTTATTTATTAATTATTATTATTATTGTTATTATAATATAAAGCATGGATATATTTTGATATTGTATTTTTGTTATTAGATTTATAATATATGTTTTCAATATTTTTCATCTTAAATTAATCAATTTTTGTGTAGTAGTCATAAAATTAAATGCATATCTAATATGTTCTATTTTTTTCACATTTGTTTTCAACATTTTGATCAATAAAATAATAGTAAAGGTTAATTTTCTTATTACATGTTAATTGAATATGTACTTTATATTTTTATATGTCATAAAATTTTAAAGACTTGGATATAATGGTAAGAAAAATACAAACTTTGCAATTTAAATACATATGTAAATAAATAAAATAATTCATGCATTGCATGAGTTGCAAGGTAATTTTTCTATAAAAATCAATAAAAAATATACTAAATTATGTTACTAGTTCCTATACTATACACAAAATGCGAATTTAGTCTTTATGCATTGATTTCAATATGGCAAGTATCTATATTTTTTATGTTTTTAAATTTTCATCCGATCAGTAACGGTAGTTTATTTTTTTTGTTAAAGTTGATGATATGTCCCATTGACCAAGTAAGGTGGCAATGATTTGATGATGTGGGTTAAAAGATTGATGAATGGGCTAATTCTTGCCGCTGTGGAATTTTCATGTATTTTTTTTTATTTCTTTGTTTCTTCCTTTTTTATTTTTCTTGTTCTTCTCTCTAAGCCTCACTCTCTTTACCTTAAGCACTAATGAACAAAAACAGCCACCCGCAACAACTCCAGAATTTGACATCGGACTTCTGACTATTGTCATCGGCATCACCGTCTGTTGCCCCCTAAAAGCTATCTAAAAATTTCTCCTGGTCTTTCATATTTTTCTACTTAGATTTGCCAAAAAACTCTCAATAAAGCCTAGATCTAAAGCCTAACAACCTGGCTCCTCCACCCAAAAATACCCACTTCCACCCCTCGAAAGGGCTTAAGTTTTTACTATGTTTGTCTGCTCCAAATTTTCTCAACTAGCTCAGCCAAGCTCATTGGAAAAATCTCATATTTCATCGAATGTAAAAACATGTACAAAATCAAACTCTTAAGGTAATTTTATAAAATGGAAGTATACATTGATCATTGTGAAAATCTCTTGTATTTAAATTGAAGTTATAATTTGTTTATTGGAACAATTTCATGGGAAATATCGACGCCTCGTTCAATAATTGCTGTTTATATTTCCCATCATTTGCTCACTGGAATCGCTTCTTCAAAATTCAAAAATTGTAGCCCTTTGGAAACTTTCAATGTTTTCTACAAAATTTGCTAATCGGGTATTGTTATTGGGTGAATAGTTATTTTTATTGATTTTGATTATCTTGATATGTTTATGTAGAATGACGAGTGGTAAGAAAATGGGGACAAGAGACAGCAAAACAAGTCGAGGATGAAATTCTTGGAGATAAGACATTAGGGGAAAGTGATAACAGGAGTAATGGGTTATATGGGATTGGTGTTTGGAGAAATGTTGGATTTGAGATTGGGTATCTTGTCTATTTCAGAGAGAAAAAGATTGTTAAGGTAGATTTCTATAGAGATAAAAGTCAATCACCAAAATTAAGTCACACCATTCTTTTAATTGCTTGAAACTAAATTTAGAGAGATAGGTTGCTAAAGTTTGTAGAGAGAGAAATAAAAATGGTTTTGTTAGTGAAAATTATCTTATTTGAAGTTCCGCATCAACAAAATGACCTATTCATCAATATTTTAATTCACATCATCGGGTCAATGTCACCTCACTTGATCAACAGGATACATCATCAACTTTACTGAAAAAAAGTAAACCACATTATTGATTAAATAAAAATTTAAAATTATAAAAAATACAGATTCTTGTCATATTAAAATTAATAAACAAGGATTAAACCCGTATTTTACGTATAATATAAGAACTAGTAGCATAATTTGACCTAAAAATATGTGATGACATAGCAATAATTGCTATAAATTGAAAAATAAGATTAAAAACACTATATTTTAAGAAATAAGTTTTTAAATTACTATGATTAGGTATAAAACTCCAAGAAGTTCCTTCCAATTGATAAGTTAATAAATTGGCTTGGTAGCTGGAACTTCCATTCCAAGTTATTGTAAATTGAAACAGACAAAAAATTTGATGTCACTGAATACGTGTGTTCATTGCTAGCAGGTCAATGGTTGATCAAGGCTGACGATCTCTTTTTTTTTTTTTTAATTTTTTAATTTTCTTTTATTTTAAGGGGTTTAAAAGAAGGTACGATTTAAGGGGTAAACAGACAATGAAAACTATGTAGAAAAATTAATTTCCAATTAGGAATTAGGAAGTTCAATTACAATCTTGCTAAAATATAAACTTTACCCAATCGTTCATTAGATAATTACAAACGAATCAGATGGTATCAATATTTAAAAAATAAATGCATACGGTTTTGTTTAAAGCTATAAACAAATACGATATTTAAGAAATAATTTGTAAATATGTTTAATTTTTATTTGTTTATTTTCATTTATTAAATTAATAAATAATTACAAAATAATATTTTAAGATTTATGAAATAAAAATTTTTATTATGAGTATAATAAAATTAATTTGTATTTGTTTCATTTACACTTTTGATATAAAATGAACAAAGCACATTTAATAAATGATTTATAAATAAATTACATTTTTATTTGTTTATATTCTATCATAAATAATATTTTAAAATTTATTAATTAAATAAATAAATTATCGACATATCAAAATTTTTTATTTTTTATTCATTTATATCTCTAATTTTATCAAATTTAAAATTTGATTAAGAAATAGTCAAAAGTCAATTGATAAAGAAGATTTGGTTACTCCGTGAGAAAATGACATAATATTTTACAAAATTTTTTTGATTATGTTTAAATCAAATTAAAAACTATAAATTTGAATCTTATCGTTTGATTTACTGAACAGGCATAGAAAAAACTAAAAAAAAAAAAAAATGAAAAGCGTAATAATCAGCCTCTGGGCCCTGCAATCGTAAGACGTGACGTTAGAGACAGCGAGGGTGAAGGAGAAAGGTTTTACAACTATTAAAGGGCTAACAGGGTTTGGGAGATCAGGAAACATAGTACCGATAGGAGTTGTCTCTTTGTACCTCAGATTAATCAAAGGTAAGGCTAAGCTTCTTCTTGTTCTTTGCTTAAAGCGCATTGGTTGCATTCATACGCCCACCTTTTAAAGATACAACAACGAGAAATCAGAACTCATGATTCTTTGAAACTTTACTTTTTAGACTACAACGAAGAATCCCACACGAAGCATTAATTCTGTATTATAATGAATCGTTTCAAACAAAATGAATCCCGAGATGTTGATACACACTATAAATTGTACTCTTCTATTTTTTTTTTTTAAATCGATTTACATTAAGAAAACTGACTCTGCATTGCTCTATTGTGGTCAATTAGACCATGGATTCTCAGACCAGAACCGAGGATTGCCTTGGGTGGGCTGCCACAGACCCCTCTGGAGTTCTATCACCCTACAAATTCAGTCGCAGGTGCCTGGGATGGAGTCTTTTTTTCTTTCTTCCAACTTACATATTTTAAGTTATTGGCACTTTGACAAAACATAGCAATATAAGGAGTGTTTCTTGTAGCACCTTTCATTTATTTGATTATTAAAAATCATTGAACTTTAGGTCCAAGTTCATGTTCTTAGCCTAACTATTGTTTTGTTCACACTGCCTAATAAGGTGAACATCTGACAAAGATACTTGGATTCACACATAACTTGATCAGCTTTCAATTGCATTACTTGATTCACTTTTCTTGTCTGGTAAACTGTATTCAGGCCTCTTGGAAGCGACGATGTTTCCATAAAAATTAATCACTGCGGAGTTTGTTATGCTGATGTCGTTTGGTCTAGGAATATAATGGGAGATTCAATGTATCCTTTGGTGCCTGGGTATGATTTTTGATTGTGAATTATGAATGGTTCCTAAACTTGATCTTAAGCTGATGTGGCTGTTATAATTGCTTTCATATCAGGCATGAGATTGCTGGTATTGTGAAGGAGGTTGGTTCCAATGTTCAGCGCATCAAGGTTGGTGATCATGTTGGAGTGGGAACTTATGTAAACTCATGCAGAGATTGTGAGTATTGCAATGATGGCGTCGAAGTTCATTGTGTTAAAGGGCCGGTTCTCACTTTTAATGGTATTGATGAGGATGGAACAGTCACAAAAGGAGGATATTCTAACTATATAGTTGTCCGTGAAAGGCAAGCATTTCATGATGCATAACTATAAGGCTGAAGTTCTTCTTTTCTTTTCCTTTATTTGCTTTTTAATTTCCTAAAATGCAGTTATTTGTTAGATTACCCAATATTTTAGATTTAAAAAAACAGGATAACCTGCTGACATGAAGCTGTATTGTACGAGTAATATCTGAATATCTTTTGCTTCTAGATCCTTGGAACACCTTTCTGTAATAAGAATCCTCTTAATCGTTTTATGTGGTCAGAATGCCTACAACCATGGTTCAATCTAAGCATTCTGTCATTTGTTATGCATCTGTATTGTTTTGTTGTGCAATGTAAGGTTTTTAGGAGTTATTTTCTACATGAGACATGAAACAGGAGTGCATTACTTATCAGGATATTTCTTCCAATATCTGCATTTCAAATTTGAAGGTGTTATACATATAATTCTGGAGCTAGATGATATAGACCATCAGGCAGAAGAAATAGTTTACATGTCCTTCTAGATTGAAGGGCAATCAACAGATATCTTTTTGTGGCTTTTTCACCATTAACATGATAGGAAAGTTTAAACTTAAATTTAATCATCTAATAATTGCCAAGTAAAAGATGATATAAAACAAATGTTTGGGTTTAATACCGTATAACAAATTTGATATTCTGGTTATAGAGTTAACTTTTTCTGCGATTATGTGTGCTTGTGTTGCATTATGCTCCACAGCCATAGCCAAAATCTATCAAAGTTGAAAATGTTACTAATTTTGGTGGTGAATCAACAGGTACTGCTTCAGAATACCAAGCAACTATCCTTTGTCTTTAGCAGCACCTTTGCTTTGTGCTGGAATCACAGTTTATACCCCAATGATGCGCCATAACATGAACCAACCCGGAAAATATTTAGGAGTGATTGGTCTTGGTGGTCTTGGTCACATGGCTGTGAAGTTTGGAAAGGTGTTTGGGTTGCATGTGACAGTTTTTAGCACAGGCATATCTAAGAAAGAAGAAGCTTTGAATCTGCTTGGTGCAGACAGATTTATTGTCTCCTCTGACCAAGAACAGATGAAGGTAAAGACTAAAAAAGAGCGCTTGCATCTTAGAAGCTCATTATTGTAACGTTCGAGTCTTTGACCTACTGGAAGTTGATGTTTTGAGTGCAGGGCCTATCAAAATCATTGGACTTTATAATAGACACTGCATCTGGCGATCATCCATTTGATCCCTACATGTCACTCCTGAAGATTGGTGGTGTTTATGTCCTTGTTGGGTTCCCAAGTGAAGTCAAATTCAGTCCTGCAAGCCTTAATATGGGTACTTAACAATATTTCTGTTACATTTTATGTTCACTTGATTTATGTTCCCTTGATCGGTGTAAACTAAGTGCTTGAATTGACCCTTTGGCAGGTATGAGAACAGTCTCAGGAAGCGCAACAGGGGGTACAAAAGTGACCCAAGAAATGATAGACTTTTGTGCTGCTCATAAAGTTTACCCACAGATAGAGGTAATTCCAATTCAATATGTGAATGAAGCTCTGGAGAGGCTAATAAAGAGGGATGTTAAGTACCGCTTTGTGATTGACATTGAGAGCACCCTGAAATGAAGTCATGGCAGCAAAAATTAATTTATCTTCCACAATACGGGCTCTTACAAATGCACATACTGAAGCATATACAATGAACGAATATGTAGCATTATTAGCATTATTCTTAGATGAATGGTGGCCATTCACTTCTATGAAGAATACTTCAGAGCTTATGTTGTGTTCTATGTAACTAGATCAATAATTAAGTTGAAATAAGTGAATAGTTGCATCAATTCCGTTGGATAGAATGGGTTTGGTCAAGACGGAATTTTGATTGAAATTTCATAGGCCTTGTTGTTACCTTTCTATGCTGTTTTATGCTTGTTCGGAAACTTTATTTTGCAAAGATCTCTCTTTCTCTCTCTCTCCCTCTCTCTCTCTCTCACTCACACACACAAACCCCTTGATCCTCTGTTGATCAAGCGGATTAGGTAGTAGATTAATGCCAACTGTTAATTTTATGCAATTAGAAGTCATAATTTAGCGATTATGTTTAGATAGAAGATCAGGATGTAGCTGCTGATACAATTTATTCTTGCATGAGGAGTTGCAGATTGGAAAATTGATATACCTTGTAAGAATCTTTTTTAAGAGGTTTAGGAAATAAATGTGCAGATACTTAATGACAAGATCAATTCTTTTGATCAGATAAAGTGATCTGTTATTTTCACAATAATTTATTTATTTAACATCCTGTTTGTGCCATGGCAACTTTTGCAGAGCATTTTTTTTTGTTGAGAGGGCATTAAAAACTAAAGATTGTTTATCTGAATTGACATCTTGAATGTGTCTCAAAATAATATCTCCTTGACAACCAAGATTTTTATTTATAATCTTCATGTTCAGAGTAGATTGACATTCCTCTTTATGCCAATTATCATAGTAGCATTATGGTAGCATATTAGAGCAACTGGCTATTTCAGGTGGTTCAAAAAGTCTCCAATTTTAATGACTAAAGATTTTGGAAAGAGCAAATCTATTTTCTCTCAGCCCTATACTTCACTTGCAATGAATTTTTCTGTTGTTTTACTCGTTGGGCAATCATTGTAGGAAATCTCCAGCGTTCTACCATGATTGAAGTCGTTTTTGTCCTTTGGGCTTCCAGTCATAAAGTTGTCTGTCCTTTTGCCCCAAAGTACAATGTAAAGACCCGCAATGATGAGACAGGCTCCTAATAAGCTGAAAAATCACCGAAGAAGTAATAAGCCAACAGGAAATGCTTATGAGCTTTTTTCCAGGATTAGATTTTTTTTTACAAACATTGGATTTACAAAAACCCTAATTTGGATTATTTATCAGGGTAGGAAATGAATGGTCAGCCGCTGGAACAAACGAACTTACTGTTGTCACTTGTCAATATAACTAATTACCTGCCCAAGTGAAGTCTCTCTGCAAAAGCAAATGCAGAAAATATTGCTACAAAGACAGTTCCCAGTGGAGTGAACGTGGATGCAAAAACTGGTCCCTTGTAGCTGATACACCACGTTTGTAAGTTGTTGGCTAATGCTGTGACCAGAACTCCCTATCAAAAATGCCCACCACACTATTAGCAAATCCATGCAAAAAATATGGCTCGGTTCCATATCATATATCATATATAATATAATATTATAAAGTACATGATTATGGGATAAAGTAAACTCATATATGTTTACGCGATCATGATATCTGGCAAATAGGATAATTCATAAATTTTAATTATTTATTAAATTTTAGCAACGTGTGGTCTAAACTAGTTCTAACAAATTTCTTCCCAATTAATTTGGATTCATCCCAATCAATTTGGAGCAGCAAGATATGTCCTACTTTTTTTTTTCTCTCAATTGAATGAAAATGAGGTGTAAGGTTCATTTCAGTTCTGAGTCAGATATGAACAAGAATACTTACACAGAAGATAATGGTTAAAAGCTGCACATTCCACTCCAGCTTCCATAAAAGAGGATTTCTAGCAAAGAACAATGCAACCAGAGAAGATTGCAATGATCCAATGAAGCAAATCAAAGCATTCAGTGACAGTTGAGCTGGGTAAACTTTGGATAATATTCCCTGTGAGGAAAAGAAGTTAACCAAAAAGGAAAAATGGTTTAGAAGTTGTGTTATACGCATTGAATTAATGTCATATTAGAAGCCAATTATCTATCTTACTGACCTCGAGAACCAGCCATGCAGTCCATACAATGGTGCTAATGAGAATAAGACGAGCCTTTGAGCCAGTTTTCTTTTCCATGCCTAAACTCTCCACCAGAGCCCAGCTTGGTACCGTGGATGTTTATCAGAGGCCCCTCTACAAAGCCTTTCAGCTGATACCCATCTTTCCAGAAGGTAAAAACAAGTGACCCACCAATGCACATGACTGTTCCCACTACTTTTGCTTTACCACTACCACTTCTAATCTTCACCTCTTCCATCCTGAAAAAGGAAAAGATCATAATCAATTGCTACAAAGTCATCTGCTGAAGCTGAAGTAACGATATAAAGCTAAATGGTAAAGAAATACTGATCCAGTAAAGATTACCTGAGAAGAACTGCCATTAAAAATGTCATACTAGGGATAACATTGTTCAAGGCGGACGCTACGGTTGGAGAAATATACGTTAAACCGAAATAGTAAACATTAAAGTAAATGGTAGTCCCTCGTGATGAGAGCAAAAGTATTTTTGCAAACATTGCATATGAAAGTGAAGGGCGCCGGTAACTATAACAAGGAAATAGAGCATAATACACATAGAACTGAATGAAATAGTTGCAATGATAACTCACCTTTCGAGTACATAAGCAAAGGGGCCTAATAAAAACAGGGCAATTATATGCCGGTAGGCTACAAAAACAAATTGATTGAGGCCCCTCGCGAAGGCAATTTTAACGAGGACAACTGCTGCACCATATGACAATTGAAGCAGCACCATTGCGGCATATAAACCAAAGTTTTTCATGGCCATGCCCTTCCTTAACATGAACTAACAGATTGAATGGCTGATTTTATATTGCTGGTAGATCAATCTCCATTGCTTCCATTTACAACGATGCCCCAACTTCTGAAGTAGTTTACTAAGCAAAGCAAAAGACAATTAACTCTAGATGCCTAAGCACTAATTACCATTAGTTTCAAGGTTAGTGATCTGGAAGTACATGGTGATAAAGTGAACGAAATATTGGTCTCAGACTCTATAGTTCATGATCATTTGCCAATAAAACTAAAAGTCCACGTGGTGTAGCCAATGCAAAGATAGTTCTGAGTATTGGTCTGTTCACCATTCCATTAATGCTATAATTTATTTTTGCTTTATTCCATTTGTTGATGTACACGTAAACCACTAAGTTATGTCTGAATAAACTTTTATTTAAACCCTAAAACATAGAGAATTTAATCTAGACTATGAATTTTATTTTACATATTATTTTGTTTTCGCGTAGTTTTTGGTCAAGTGGTGCAGAGTTCAGATATTAAGTACTGCTTTTATTCTTCAAAAATTAAACTTCAACATACGGGATGTGTTAGAAGATGTGTTTAGGATTGCTAATGTGGATTCATTGAATGTTTCATGTAGTTCCTGTTTTTCTGGTGTTGGTTATTTTTTTGTTATTCATGCTGGTGGTCATGGCTTAATCTTAGGATTATGATTTTAGTGGGTAATTATTAATTAGGCTTTAAATTGTAATGTTTTTGATGTTAAGAAAAGTAACAGTGAGTAAAGTTTTTTTTGCTTAAAAAATAACAACATTTGGTATCAGAGCTTTCTTCTTAAGGGATCTGTGTGTGAAATTAACGCGTCATGGAAGCTGAAGCCAGTTTCTCCACAATTGCTCCGACAGTGTTCGGCAGAGATAACTACCAGATTTGGGCAGTACGTATGGAGACATACTTTGAAGTTTTAGATCTTTGGGAAGCAGTGGAAGAAGACTATGAAATTCCTGCACTTCCAAACAATCCCACCATGGCACAGATTAAAGCACAGAAAGAAAAGAAGACAAAGAAATCAAAGGCAAAGGCCTGCTTGTTTGCTGCAGTCCATCATCTTCACTCATATCATGTCTCTGAAGTCAACAAAAGAGATATGGGATTATCTAAAGAATGAATATGAAGGAGATGAAAGAATTAAAGGGATGCAAGTCCTTAACTTGATTAGGGAATTTGAACTTCAAATAATGAAGGACTCCGAGACGATTAAAGATTACTTCGATAAGCTTCTGAGTATCACAAACAAAGTAAGGCTTTTTGGATCTGAATTTACTGACTCAAGAATTGTAGAAAAAATTCTTGTTACAGTACCTGAAAGATATGAAGCAACCATCACTGTCTTAGAGAATACAAAGGATCTGTCAAAAATTTCCTTAACAGAATTGCTTAACGCTTTGCAAGCACAAAAACAAAGAAGACTGATGAGGAAAGATACGACAATTGAAGGAGCTTTGGCAGTCAAGCATCAAAATGTGGCCAAAAGCAAAAAAAAAAAGAGAAAGGATTTTGAAGGAAATGGGGCAAGTACTGCATCAGCCAATGCAAAAGAAAAGAATGAAAATAAGAAGAAATCCTATTCACCTTGCCAACATTATGGAAAGAAGGGTCATCCTCCATTTAGATGCTGGAAAAGACCTGATGCTAAATGCACTAAATGTAATCAGATGGGGTATGAAGCTGTTATCTGCAAAAACAAAACTCTGCAACCTGGTGAAGATGCAAAGATTACTGATTAAGAGGAGAAAGATCACCTATTCGTAGCTACATGTTTCTCCGGCATCGAATCAAGTGAGAGTTGGCTTATAGATAGTGGTTGTACTAACCACATGACACATGACAAGGATCTATTCAGGGAACTAAGCAACGCAAACTTATCAAAAGTTTGAGTTGGTAATGGCAAGTACATAACTGTGAAGGGAAAAGAACAGTTGCAATTTCAACTTGTTCAGGTACAAAGTTCATTTTTGATGTATTATATGTCCCTAAAATTGATCAAAACTTGTTAAGTGTTGGACAACTAATTGAAAAGGGTTATAAAGTTATGTTCGAAGATAAAAGTTGCTTGATTAAATATGTAGTTGGCCAAGATATTTTCAAAGTAAAAATGAAAGAGAAAAGCTTTGCTCTAAATCTATTGGAGGAGGAGCAAACTGCTTTCCCAATCAAAGAAAATATCACTGAAGTATGGCACAAGAGGCTCGAGCACTATCATCATCAGGGGCTGCTGCAGATGAAATCCAAGAATATGGTAAATGATTTTCCAGAACTTGATGATCATATTTCAAATTGCAAAGCATGTCAGTTTGGAAAGCAAAGTAGGAAACCATTTCCCAAGGCAATATGGAGAGCATCAAAAAAGTTACAATTAATTCATACTGACATTGCAGGCCCACAAAGAACGCCTTCTCTGAAAGGTAGTCTTTATTATGTTGCATTCATTGATGATTTCACTCGTATATGTTGGATCTTCTTTTTAAAGCACAAGTCAGAGGTGGCTTAAGTCTTTTGGAACTTTAAAGCTCGAGTTGAGAACGAGAGTGATTGTAGAATTCAAACTCTCAAATCAGACAATGGCAAAGAGTACACCTCTGAAGCATTCACTCATTTTTATGAAGAGGTAGGCATCCAACATCAATTAACCGCTCCATACACTCCACAACAAAATGGAGTAAGTGAGAGACGGAATAGATTCATATTGGAGATGACATGATGTATGCTACATGAGAAGAACTTGCCAAAGCAATTTTGGGCTGAAGCAGCAAATACTGCTATTTTTTTACAAAATAGGCTTCCCACAAGAGTAGGGAAGGATCAAACACCCTTTGAGGCATGGTATGGTTATAAACCATCTCTGAATTTCCTTAAAATATTTGGATGTTTGTGCTTCACTTATGTTTTACAGACCAAGAAAGATAAATTAGATAAAAGAGCACTTCTAGGCATCTTTATTGGCTATAGCTCAGTTACAAAAGCTTATAAAGTTTTCTAGCCACAAACTGAAAAAATTATTATAAGCAGGGATGTGCACTTTATGAAAGATGAAGAGTGGAACTGGGATGATGCAAAAAAGATGGATCCAACCTTAAAAAAGCACAAGCTCAAGTTTCCTAGCATTGAAGACTGAGAGAATGAAATGGTGGATGACAGTCCTATCAGAGGTACAAGACTACTTTCTGATGTTTATCAAAGATGCAATATTGCTGTGTGTGAACCTACAAATTATGAAGAGACCAAGATGGATCAAAATTGGATTGCTGCAATGAAGAATGAGCTATTCATGATTGAAAGGAATGAAACATGGGAGTTAGTTGATCGACCCCAAAACAGAAAAGTAATTGGAGTCAAATGGGTGTACAGAACCAAGCTTAATGCTGATGGCTCAATCAACAAGTATAAAGCTAGACTCGTGGTCAAAGGATATGCTTAAATACTCGGTGTGGACTATTCAGATACCTTCGCACCAGTCGCTAGACTTGACACCATCAGGCTCTTACTCGTCGTTGCAGCACAAAAGAATTGGAAAGTGCACCAATTAGATGTCAAGTCAACATTCTTGAATGGTTTTTTGCATGAGGAGATTTATGTAGAACAACCAGAAGGCTATGTTAAGGAAGGAGAAGAAGACAAGGTTTATCTTCTTAAAAAGGTACTTTACGGATTGAAGCAAGCTCTAAGAGCTTGGTACAGCAGGATTGATGAACATTTACAGAACTTGAGATTTGTCAAAAGCTTATCTGAATCAACATTATATGTCAAGCACAATGGAGCTGACATTCTTATCATCTCACTATATGTGGATGACTTACTTGTGACAGGAAACAACATAAGTATTGTGGAGAAGTTTAAGCAAGAGATAATGGAGTTTTTTGAAATGACAGATCTTGGATTGATGACTTTTTTTCTTGGAATGGAAATCAAACAGAATGAACATGAAGTCTTTATCTATCAGAAGAAATATGCCAAAAAGATTCTGAAGAAGTTTAAACTCAAAGAATGTAAAGAAATGAGGACACCAATGAACTCAAAGGAAAAGCTTTGTAAAGAAGATGGAACAGAGAAGATTGATCAGGCATATTTCAGAAGCCTGATTGGTTACTTAATGTTTCTCACAGCAACTTGGCCTGACATTTTGAATGCTGTAAGCATTTTGTCTCGGTTTATGCATTGTGCAAGTGAATGGCATCTCAAGGCTGTAAAGAGGGTGCTTAGATATGTGAAAGGCACAAGTGATTTTGACAATAAATACACAAAGAGCAAAGAGTTCAAGCTGGTTGGTTTCTCAAACAGTGATTGGGGAGGTTCCATTGATGATATAAAGAGCACTTCAGGCTATTGTTTCACACTTGATTCTGGTGTTTTCTCATGGAGCTCGAAAAAACAAGAAATTATAGCTCAATCTATAGCTGAAGCAGAGTTTATTGCTGCAACAGCTGCTGTTAATCAAGCTTTGTGGCTAAGGAAGATTTTAATCGATCTTAACTTAGAGCATGAGGAAAGCACGAAGATTCTTGTTGACAATCAAACTGCCATTGCTATCTCTCAAAATCCTGTGTTTCACGGGAAAACTAAACATTTTAATATTAAATTATTCTTCTTAAGGGAAGTACAGAAAGATGGAGCTGTTGTTCTTGTCTACTGCAAAACAGAAGATCAGGTTGCAGATGTTTTCACCAAGCCACTGCCAGTTAGCAAGTTTGAATTTCTGAGGACAAAACTTGGTGTTTGTAGCTCCTAAAGCAAGGAGGAGTGTTAGAAGATGTGTTTAGGACTGCTAATGTGGATTCATTGAATGTTTCATGTAGTTCCTATTTTTCTGGTGTTGGTTATTTTTTGTTATTCATGCTGGTGGTCATGGCTTAATCTTAGGATTATGATTTTAGTGGGTAGTTATTAATTAGGCTTTAAATTGTAATGTTTCTGATGTTAAGAAAAGTAACAATGAGTAAAGTTTTCTTTGCTTCAAAAATAACAACAGGATGTGGTGAAGTTGTGCTTCTGTGCCTTTCACATTTGTAAGATGATGGGAGATTTGAAGCTTAAAGTCAATTTAACCGGGGACTCTCTTTGCAATCTAACTGCTTTTTTAAATATAGCATGAAACAAACACAAGTTTTGAACATTTGAAACAGTTTGATCCGTCCCTTCCCTTCCTAGAGTTAGTTATCCTTTGCTTTAATTGTGTTTACTTGTTCTTCAATGTTCCAAAGGCTTTATCCAACAATACTACAGATGAAGATATCAGTTTTTGCATTGAGTCAACAGGTACTGCTTCAGAATACCCCTGGACTATCCTTCGGCTTCAGCAGCACCTTTTCTTTGTGATGGAATCACTGTTTATGCACCAATGGTGCGCCATAGCATGGATAAACCTGGCAAATCTTTAGAAGAGATAGGAATTGTTGATCTTGGTCACATGGCAGTGAAGTTTGGTAAGGCTTTCGGGTTGCATGTAACAGTTTTTAGCACAAACATATTTTGTTGTCTACTCTGACCAAGTGCAAATGATGGTAAAGAGTATAACTTCTAAGAAGCTCGTTTTTCTAATTATTTATCATCTTTGACCTTGAGCTGATTTCTTGGTTACAGGCCACAGGGTTTAGAAAAATCATTAGTCTTCGTAGTTGACATTGAACCTGGTGATCATCCATTTGATCCCTATGTCATGGTCTAGGGAAGAGCCATGAATCTCACATCGGATTTATATAAGAGTTGATTTTGAGATATAAAGGTTTACACATTTCTTTCATTGTGAGGTATGAACCGTGATATTTAGACTGATCTGAGATGACAGATGAGTCTATGCTCGGATTTTGGAGCTGCACGAACTTGGAGGTTGAGTCTCAGTCCGTGATAAGTGGTATCAAAATTATCTCTAAAAGGTATTAGCAATGTGCCACTGAAGATGATGGGCCTTTGTTGGAGTGAGGGAGGATGCCACGGTTCAGATTGAATCTTGGTCCGTAACACCTACATCCTACATGTTACTCCAAATAATTGCTGGTGTTTATGTCCTTGATGCATTCCCTAGGGAAGTCAAATTCAGTCCTGCAAGTCTTAACCTGGGTACTTCAACTTTGTTTTTATTGCAATAGGTGTTCTAACTTTGTCAATGTCAGCAAGCACTTAAAATGATATTTTGTTAGGTATGAGAACAGTTTTAGGAACCATAACAGATGGTACAAAAGTAACCCAAGAATTGAGAGACTTTTGTGATGCCCATATAATTTAGGCACAGATAGGGTTAATTTCCAATTCAGTATGTAAACGAAGCTCTTGAGAAGCTAATGAAGAGGGATGTTAAGTACCGGTTTGTGATTGACAGCGAGAACAGCCTTCAATGATATCATGGCAGCAAAGATGAATTTACCTTCTGTGATACATATTAACTAAGCTTACACAATCCCCACATTGAAGAAAATACAAGAAAATACATAAACAAACATGTATAGTGAATCGGCATTATCAATTCTTCATAGATGGATATGAGCTTTCACGTCTGTGAAGATGCCTTCAGAGCTTATCCTGCGTTCCAATCTCCAAGCAAGTATGTATAGCATTTAAGCTGGAATAAATGAGTAGCAGTATCTGCACTATGGATGAAAAAGAATGCATTATAGAAAGCGCTTTTTGGTAAGAGATTTGTGAATTTTCGTAGTTATTTGTGCCATGATAACATATGCGTACTATTATTTTCCTTAGAAGAAGACTAATTCATCGGCACTTCAGATCATTTTCCGTAATGCATTTACTTTCTTTTTATTCCTTTACTAGAAATAAGCACACTGAACGATCTGGCTACTTCATGAAAATCGCCATGATTCAAAGTCTTGGCACATTATTTACCATGGCGAAATCTTTTAGTGGTAAAAGCTGATTTAATTTTCTCAACATATCGCCTCTCTAGTGACAGATTTATCACTGGCTATTGGGCATTTGTTGGTGGAAATCACTACCTTTTCATCATTTCCATCCTTCATATGTCCAGAGACAAAACCGTCTCTCCTTTTGCTCCAAAGTACAAAGTAAAGGCCCAAAATAATGAGAAATGCTCCCGCCAAGCTGAAAAATTGCCAAACACAATTATTGAGCCAACAAGATAGGAAAAATAAACTTCTTCCATTTAGTTGGAGAGACAGAAGTGAGAAAGAAGTACTAATTGACAGTGAACCGCGTAAATCAAAGTGTAACCGAATTAGACCCTAGTAGTGGACAGTCAATGGAAGAAAGAAATTATTATTAGCATAACTTACCTGCCTAAGTGAAGTCGCTCTGCGAAAACAATTGCACAGAATATTGCTACAATAACGACAAGCAGTGGATTGAACATCGCCGCGAAAACTGGTCCCTTATTACTGATACACCATGTTTGTAGGTAGTAGACTAATGCTGAGAGTACTACTCCCTATAACAAATACCATATCAGCAAAATCATGCAAAGAATACATGTCAATTTCTCCTTTTTAAGTAAACATGAGCAGTGAGAACTTAAAAAGAGTTAGTAGAATTCTGAATAAAAAAATTACACAGTAGATGATGGTCAAAAGCTGCACATTCCACTCCAGCTTCCACAAAAGAGGGTTTCTTGCAAAGAACAGGGCAAGAACAGAAGATTGCAACGATGCAATGAAGCAAATTAAAACATTCAGTGATAGTTGAGCTGGATAGACTTTGGATACTTTAGCCTGTGAGAAAAAAATTAATACCAGTTAAAAGAAAAACAATTATCCATGATGTCTATATGAAGATATTTGAAGTCACATAGAGTATAGAATCTCTGCTCACCTGGAGAATTAGCCATCCACTCCAAGCAATGTAACTGACAAGAATAAGAGCAGAGCCTTTGATCCAACTTTCCTTACCTTGCCTACCCTCACTATGAGAACCATTTGTGCCGTAGATGTTTATCAAGGGCCTGTCTACAACGCCTTTCAATTGGAACCCTCCTCTCCAGAAGGTAAAAATAAGTGAGCCACCAATGCAGATAAGGGTACCCAATACCTTTGCTCCGCCACTTGCACTTTTAATCTTCAGCTTCTCCATCCTGAAATTAAAACAGAAGAAAGCAATTGCTAGAAAAAGGTATCAGCTGAGATAGAGATAACGATTAGGACAAAAGGTGGATGTACATGATTAATTAAGGATTACATATACCTGAGAAAAACTGCCACAAGAAACGTCAAACTAGGGATAACATTGCTCAAGGCAGTTGCTACAGTCGGAGAAGTATAAGCTAAACCAGCATAGTAAACATTAAGATGAATAGTAGTCCCTAGAGATGACAGCAAAAAAATTTTTCCGAACACTGACACCGTAAGTGAAGGGCGTTCCTTCCTGCTTTCAAAATACAATGCAACAATTTATTGTTACATCCACAATATAACAACTTTTTGACGTTCTTGTGAGCTCTTGAAATTAATGGTACAGTTCAGCTATGTTCAGGCAATTGGCTGAGCAAAAGTATATACAGATTCACTACCTTGAAAGGAAAAAATGCAGTAAAACACATAAGATGTAGAACTAAGAATGGTAAAAGACTGAAAGTTGCAAGTTTAGCTTACCTTTCAAGTACATAAGCAAGGGGGCCTAACAGAAGCATGGCAGTTATGTGCCTGTAAACCACAAGGACATATTGATTAAGGCCTCTCTCAAGGGCGATTTTAATGAGAATATTAGATCCACCATAAGCAAATTGAACAACCACCATTGCCACGTAAAAACCCCAGTTTTTCATGCTTATAAGATGAACTAGTAGACAGATTGGGGGATTTTATATTGGTCGAGGATCAATCTCAGCCACTAATGGAAACGGCTTTAGTTACATTATAGTTTGTTGGATGACACATTTTAACACTCAACTAACTCAAGTAGCCAGTGGAATTCATAATCGGTATAAGAATAAGATACCCCACTTCCCAATCTTTCACATTTAAGCCATTAAAACCGAGATGCTTCTGCTTTCCAAACTTTTTTTATTTTTTTTGATAACTTGGACACAATTTTCTCTTTCTGTTGTACTGCTCTTTTTATTCGTTACAATATAGGCCGTTTGCGAAGATTATGTTTATCCTACTTGCCTCCTAGATCAGTTGCTGTTTCTCAATAGAATATGGCTCCTCATTCCATCTGAGAGGAAATATGATACATATCTATTATAGAAACTGAATAATAGGAATACAACATTGAAGTAATTTTAGAAATGCTAATTTCTATGTCGATTGGTAACCAGTTATTTATTTTAACGCCCTCCATCCTATATGGAATTCCATTTTGCCTCTTGAAAAATTGAATGATTAAAAGAGGCTCATTAATGTTCATCTTGGCAAAAAGTGAACGTTGGGAGGCACTAGAATCGATCTTAAGCAATTCTTTCTGATCAGGGAGAAAAACAAGGCAAGTGGAAACACTCATACTAGAAACTCAATCCAACTTCAAATTATGGTGCAAATTTCCAATACCAATAAACTTGGCACTTAGAAAATTGCAAAATATGCAATTTGTTGAGGAAGAATTCTATAAACAAACACAACACTTAAAAAATGCAATTAGACATAATTAAAGTACTAAAGATCAAACAGATATTCAAAATTTTCCAGACAACAAATAAAGATAACATCCTTGTTGTACTCTGCAGCTGAAATCCAGGGAGGGAATGAGGAAAGAGAAAACAAAAAACCAAGGTCCCAAGATATTACTACAACAGAAAAGTAAAGTGGCCCTGTAACTATAACACAAGAGACAACAATCACTCATCTTCAAAGATCTTACCCTTCTCGCTAACATAGATACCATCAAGGAACTTTCTAATATCCTTGTTCTTCACATGACATTTCTGTTCAAATGACAGTCAGATGGTCAGATTATGAAAGCAAAGCTGCAAGCTATTAAATGTGAACTATTAGCACAAGGTTCATCGAGTGTCTAAAAACTTGTAAATGAGAGGGAGGGAGTACCTGGTTTATCAAGGCTGCTGAGCGTGACACAAGTTCAATATCACTACCATCCAATATTATCTCATCCTTAACCTTCTCAGATCGAACAATGGAAACCCCCTCCAACATATCCACCTTGCGCACCTGATGATTTTCAGCAGCAGAAGTCGAAATTAATATAATGTCACAGAATTAGAAGGAACATCTTGAACTATTAAAACAATAATACTATGACAATTCAAAAAAAAAAAAATGGTTCACATCTGCTTCATTGACCCTTTGAACAGGAACAATTTGGTTAAAAAAGTATAAACAAAGCCTGCCCATTTCTCTACATCAATAAATGAAGTCTGAAGTCCAGAACATATAAGAATTTTAAGTTTCAATTAGCGGTGTTGACATTAACAAAACAACCTGTATTAACAGAAAACAGTCCTTAACGAAAAGATAGTACTTTTTTGGCACAGGAAATTTCTGTTTAAGCTATCAGGCATCAAAATGTGACATCTTCAACTGAAATTGATAGGAATATATCATTTCAACATTTTTGAACACTAGAATAGGCAAACATTCAACAGAAAATTATTTGAAATCAAACGCCCGAACCAAACACAAATATATAATAAAAATAATAAATGCATTCCTCAAATTAAAAAAAAAATGAAATGAATCAACAGTGACAATCAGATTCCGATCCAATAAAAATATATGCAGAAAAAGGTATTAAAAAAATGAAGAGAGAGAGAGAGAGAGAGGACCTTCTTCTCGCCAAGGAAGTTACGGATCTCTATGGACTTGTTGCCGTTAGTGATGGAGGCGTTGATTGGAAAGTGAGCGTAGACGAACCTCATCTTGTAACGGTACCCCTTGGTGACGCCGGTGATGAGATTCTCGACGTGGCTGAGTGCGGTGCGAATGGCAGCGCTAGTCTTCCGGGAGCCGAACCAAGCCTCGATCCTGAGCTTGCGCTTTCCGGTCTCCTCGTCCTTGATGAGATGGAAGTCGAGGTTGAGGTGCTTGAAGTTGCGGGTGAGCTTACCCCTGGGGCCCTCAACCTCGATCATCTTGGCCTTCACTTTGATGTTAACCCCATCGGGGATGTCCATTGTCTCTGACGAAAGTATGGTCTTCATTTTCTTTTTCTCTGCTTCCCTCGTCGACTCTCGGCTCCTTCCAGAAGAGGAAGAAATACAGCCACCACTCACTTTCTAAAACCCCTAAACCTAAAAGCCCTTATATAAACGAGGTTAGGTTTTCGGCTTTTGGGTGTGTGGCTTTGAAAAAAAAAAAAAAAGACCCAAAAGACCTTTTGTGGCCCAATTACTCATGGACAGAGCTAGATTTAAATGCCTTATTTAAAAGATTTTTTTTGGACAAAATTTTTTTCCTTAAATTTGTTCTATAATTATGGTGAACCTAATTTTCAAGCGACCCATAATAATAAAATATGATAAAATATTTTAAGCATTCTAGTTTTTCCTCTCTTATTTATTTTTCTGTTTACTTAAATATTTTTTTAGAAGATTTATTATTTAAAATAATTTGTAAAAAAAAATCAAATACAAAAATATATCAACTTATATTTTTAAAACTTAAAAAATGAACATATGTTAAGACATTTAAAAATATATATAATCATTTAAAAAATAAATTATACCAATGATTTTTAAATTTTAATAACGCGATAATGATTAATGAGGATAAACAATTAATATTTATGAATCTTAAGTAGATATATAATAGGTTTTTTTATGCGTCATTTGAATTTTAGAATTTTAGACTAAAATAATATAAAATTTTTGGTTAATGAACATGCTAAATTTGGACTTTATTTTTGATAAATAAGTTTTTTTATTAATATTAACAAAATTATTGGATGTTGAGGTGACTGTTGAAAAAGAGTAAATACGAAAGTGAAAAGAATATAATTTCATTATTTGATAGAAGAAAAAAGTTAGAGGAAAAAAATATAAGAGAAGATTGTTTTTCATCTTTGCTCAGAAAAATAAATCTTTTCAAATTAAAAATTTTAGAAGAAAATTAATTTAATATGATAAGAGGTACTTTTGCCATTGTAACATAAGTCAAAGTTAAATTTTACCTTAAGTCTTCTTTGTCTATATAATTTTTCTAATACACAACTTATCCATTAAATTTAGGTCTAGTTCAACATTGTTGTTGAAAGTAATTCTTGCCTTCTAAATTTTTTTTAATTTAACCTTAATATTAAATAATAAAAAATATGATTTTTCAATTAAAAAATTTGGTTTGCTAATCCAAACTAAAAAAACTCATTAAAAATTATTTTTTATATAAAAAAAGTACATTTAAAATAAAAAATTATTATATTACTCATATATTTTTAATATTTTATTATTTTATGAATATGTTTTTAAACATATAAATTACTCACATATTAGCACTTTTCACGTTAATATCAAAAACTTAAAATTTTTAATCACATTTTGTAACACTTTTTAAAGGTATTTTTTTCACTCAATTTTTTTTAACAACATTTCTTACTACACTTTTTATAAACGGTTTTTTTATACTCAATAGTGCCAATTACAATGCTAAACTTAGACGTGATAATTTATGTTTTTATGTTTTATCTTATATTATATTTGACATATGTAATGATGTAAATTATTAAAATTTAAATATGACATAAATTATAAAACATATTTTAATCTTAAATACAAACATGATATATTTATTATACGTATTATATGCGATACGATATGATACATATATGTATAATTAATTCATTTAAACATAATATGAAAATAAATATGAATAACATGAATATATACAAATAAACATAACTAATATGGATATACATAAATAAATACGATTAATACAAATATATACGAAAACACAACTAAAATAATAAATTATTATAAATTATTCATCATTTTTAACTTAATAAATCAAATATATTAATAATATAAAAAAGTATTTGTATATTAAAAAGTATAAAAAATTTGATACCCACATTTAATATATATATTTAATTTTTAATATATAGATTAAAAAATTATATTAATTTTTAGTATCAAATTTAAAATAATAAACTATTAAAAATTAAAAAATAAAATAATGATGTATCGTTTTAATTCTATTATTTATATTGTTTTTATATCATTAATATAAAAAATAATTTTATAATAATTATTATATGAGTATAATAATTAAATGTTTAAAATCAATTTTATATGATATTCAATAGCTAATTAGGTATTATAATTAAAAAATTAAAAATTAAAAAAAATTTATAAGTTTATTCAAATAAAATAAATATAAAAAATATGTTAAATATATTAAAAATATTAAACGTGTACCCGTATAACAAGATTAAACATGAAATGTTTTTCTTAAACATACAATTTTTTTGTTTTCATATCATTATGTTGTGTTTGAAATTACTACGTCTACCTAAACTAACCTTCACATCACTTCTCCACAACTTATAACAAATTCTTTCTTCACTTTCACCGGTTACAATCAATTATGATACTTATTCCATGCTAATGTCACTGGTGTTAAATAAATTTGTTTTAGACACAAATATTTGGTTGATACTCCATATATCAATATTCCAAGTAAGAAATTATCCAAAAAAAAAAAAAAATTATCCAAGCGGAAAAGATATAAATATTCAGTCCAAAAAAAAAAAAAATTAGGAAATACAACCACATGTATGCTTACCTATGTATGATTTAAAGCATGAACAGAGACTTACTTAAATTCAAAGATTCATGTAAGAGCACTAACAACCCATCTCCCCTTTCCAATTACAGTTCAGAAGTAACATATCAAAGGAGTAAAAACTAGAAAGAGGGAAAAACAAAAACCAAAACAAAACCAATACCCAGGAAGAAAAAAATAAACCACAAGACACAACCATTCAAGTGTTACTCCGATGTACCACAAAAGTCAAAACAATATTACCACAATTTGGCAATTTCTGTACAATTCAAAACAACCCTTCATGGGGAGGGGGGACAAACACTAGGACCAGGCACAATCTCTTGCTTCAACACTTGGCATGAAGCAAACAGTGTCCCCATCTTCTTACCAGCAATCTGGAACAGAGCACATTTCTGAGTAATCTTCCTCTTCATCTTCCAACTTATACATGCTAAAGTGATTGACCCTGAACTTCCACTCTCCTTCGATGGGATCATAAGACAGAAACTCTGCTCCTTGGTCCTCTGCCTTCCTTTTAAGCATGTCCTTATATCTCTCGACTTTTGGCCCTTCTGTATACTGGTGCCTGGTCTTTTTATCAAAGCATTTGATGTTAAGAAGTGTTACCTCTGCAGGCTTATTAAGACCTTGTCCAACAGGAGGTTTCTTGCTGTCATCCATGTAAACAATCACCTCACGATTGTTAAACTGGACAAGGGACTCCAGATCAAGACGTCTCACATCTGTCTCACCCAGGAACTTGATGCTTCCATAACCATGCCGCCCAACCACAAAATCCTTGACACGGCGACAATACCCTGGTTCTGCCCTTTCCTTCGCCGCCAGTTCTTGGATTCGAGGTTCTGTATAGTAATCAGACCGTCTGAGCTTTGGCATTAGAGCCTCAATTTCAGCTCCATGCTCATACACAATAGCAGCCTCACCAGCTCTATGGCCACTGAGCGTCAAGTATGAGTCCTCTTTCTGAGCAGATTGATTATCATTCACTCCGTTGGCTTTCTGGTTACCTCTGACTGGATGAATTGGCTCCTTCACAAGGCCATTTTCAGCTGGATTTTCTACAATGATCATATCAATCAAAAGAGATTAAGCAGTAGCAGAGATGTCAGCAAACAAATTTATAATGATCCTAAATTCATCTTAAAGTTATAATCAGATAAAAACACTCATCATCTTTATCAGAAAAAGAATCATCATGGCAAAAGGAAAAACTATTACTTTAATGCTTTGCTTTGTCCCATATGAATATCAGAAACTCCAAAGAAATAGACAACGGGGTACCCATTTCTGTCTGACAGTCTAGCAGAGAGTCATAAAAGAAAAGCTTGAGGAGATAAAATGGTTCCTAAAGCAATCCAAGGGAGAAAGGGAGAAATGTTTTATAACCCATGCAAGTTTCACATCACAAAACACTAAATCAAAGACACAATAATGGCAACATAAATTAAATAAAATGGCACGATAGGAAACTAAAGGTGATTTCAATTTCCCGTAAAAGATACAACTTACTATCTTTATCCTCAGCATTGGAGCCATCATCAGAAATTTTACCTAAATAAAACGCATGTTCCAAATAGTCAGACGAGCAATCAAAAAACAATGTAATCAGACCATTAAAAATTGTAAATATGAATTCATATATCTAAAAACAAAATCACAGCATTTTCTCAGTGCAATAAGAATATTGTAATGGCATCAGAAAAGTGACTTCTTACAAGAGATGGCGTTATTGTTTTTTCGCTAGGTCAATTGGTATTACTTGGTTAGCTCATCAGTTTGACTATAACCCAAGGGTGTTTTTGTGGAAGTGTGTTTGAGAGACAAAGAGAACAGAAATACAAAAGACTACAAAGAGGAATCAATTACATAAGAAAAAAAATAAAAAAACTCTCACTACTGACTTCTCTGAGGTTAAATGCTATTAACAAGGACTTGAGCATCAATAGCATTTTGAGACAATTGCTGAGAACCTTATATTGTCAAATGGTGGTAGGTAGTAGCACATGCACAGAAGAAACAAAGTCTGCAAAGAGTATAAATGCTTCAAAGCAATCACTTTCACCCCTATCTATAAACTGTTGTTCTGATCCTAACTAATTCACTTGGTCCCACCAAAGGAATGCAGACGAACTCAAAAGTATCTTACCATTCTCCTGCACACGAGTAGATGCATCCTTCAATGGAGATGCCTTCTCTGCAGAAGCTTTTGAAGGCCAACTTTCTCTGGGATGAATGACCAGAGCCCTTGGATTTTCCCTAGGAATAAAAACAGCATCAGCCTTAGGTGTGCTGGGTGTCTCTTCATCATCACTGAAAAATGGAACCTGTAGATAAAGATTAACAAATAAAATGAACACATGTTAGAACTGTAATCTCATAGGCTGAGCAATGTAATAATATTTTATATCAGCAGATTAGAGTTACTCTTTCATGAAAGATAGGACCCTCACCTTTGGGCTATCATTATTAGAATGATATTTCCTAGCAGGCAACCTAATCCGTCTTTGAGAAAGGTATCGGGAAGTCAGTAAGGGCGATATTCTAACAGGAGCAGGTTTGTCCACAACCTGATAAATTCATTACAAGTCAACCAATTAATACTATTACATTTTAATTTACAACAAAATCATTGCTAATACTAGCACGAAGAGAGAGAATGATCTATAACAAGTAAACAGAAGATCAAACTTGAAAACTAAAGCAAGGTCAGAAAGTTACAGGCATGCTGGAAATCCCATATTGAACAGATGGTGCAGTCCCAGCCCGACCAAATGATATTTGAGGCATTGCAGGGAGTGTTCCATAGGGGTTTGTAATAGTCACGGGTTGTACTACAGCAGCACTCTGCGTAGCAGACCTATCAAACAGAAGAGCATGCAGGATTAAGCTCCAAAATATAAATCATATAACTATTTAGATAACCATGGGGAAAACTTGTTCAGGCACATTTTTGCATAGACATGTGCAAAGGAACAAGAAAAAATTATACTTGTAAATAGTAATAGCTATGCATATGCTTGAAGGCATGTAGAAGGATATGTACAAGTCCCAGTGGAAATAGAAGCAAAATCCAAAGGATATTACACATACGATAGTCCAATATTACTCTGACCAAAAATGCCCAATCCACCACCTATAAAGCCACCAACTTCATTATGGTCAGCACCATCAGAGAAAGCTCAAACTTCAAATGATAATATTCAAGATAAAACTTCTCCTACCTGATTGTGTATGACCAAAATTGCTAAAGCTGAAAGCACCACTGGTCTGAGCTGGCTGAGCTGTCTGAAAAGGTGAAGCAAAAGAGGGCTACACAAACAGTGGGTCAAACTCTGAACTTAAGGCTCAGACACAGGTAAGAAAAGCATGCATGTTTACACAAAGACTCATTCATAAACCTAGAGAGTATTATTGCAAATTAAAACAAGCAAAACTCCTAAAATCATAAATCTAGTCATAAATTTTTTTTCATAAAATAGTTAAAACATGTTTCAATCAACAAGTAGTCATGAATTTAACTAAATAAGTCCCCACGAACCCTGATGTTTAGATATGCAAAAGCTTTCCTCGTAAAATTATCAATTATGACTCTTCAATCAACAAAAAGTTAGGCATCTAAATCCGGCAAGGTAAAAAAACTCTTATTTGGATCTTTCTTAATTACATAATACAGAAGCAAATAGCTGAATCCTATCAGCAATTAAATTGGATATCTAGTCCACTTTTCAATCAATCATGCACCACAGGGCTCAACAGTGGACAATTATTTTGAATTCTCAGTTCAGAAAGAAGAAATGCAGATAATTCTGCAACCATACAACAGAATGATGAAAATGTACAGAAATAGAGCACTTAGATCAAAATGAAGACTAAAACAACAAATATTATAGCTTCATCTTATAACCAAATGACATGAGCTAAGGATCATAAATATGATGAAAAGAATGATTGTAAAGATTTCACGAGTGACTTACAGTAGTTGGGCCGAAGGCAGCTGGGTTACTAGAAGGAGCCAAGGATAGAGAGCTCGAAAACATATTCCCACTAAATCCAGTGGAAGGTGTGCTGAAAATGCTTGTTTGACCAAAGTTACTAGCATTCTGTCCAAACGTAGAGGTCATGTGCCCAAAAGCATTGCTTGTCTGCCCAATTGCAGGGGTAGAATTGAAAAGAGGGGATGTCTGACTGCTGCTAAAATTTAAACCAGTAGCAAATGCTGGAGTTGTAGCTGGAGCTGCCCCAGTACCAAAAATAGATGGTGAAGTTGAAAATGAAGGAGTGACAGACGAACTAAAAAGAGATGAACTGGTTCCAAATGTAGGAGTGGAAGAGGAACCAAATATTGAAGATGTTGACGAAGTTGGGCCAAAAAGGCTTGATGATGTCGATTGAAAAGGATTTGATATAGCAGTCGAGGTTGTAAAACCTGTACTATTAAAGGATGGAGGTTTTAGACTAAATGGATTGATACTTGTGCTGGAAAAAGGATTTGAAGATGTCTGACCAAATGTTGGAGAAGAACCAAAAGGATTTGTAGGTGCAGTTGATACACCAAAGCCAATCCCTCCAGAAGGTTGAGCAGCTGGCTGCGGTCCACCTGAAATTTCAAATTTAATACAGCAAGGTAGGGAATGTCAAACAAGAAAAGATGAAAGATTAGAAATTTCAAATTAATATAGCAGGGTAGGGAATGTCAAACACAAAAAAGAAAAAAGATTAACTTTCAGGGTTGTACACAAAGGTACCTTTATCTCCTAACTGATAGTCCTCCCATCTCAGCTCCTCATGACTTTTATCTTTGTAAACAGGCATCGCTGATATTGACTCCAACTTTGCAGCTGGCTGTGTACCGCTCCCACTATCTGCTTCAGTTGTAGGTGTATAAGGAGCTACTCTACTTCCCCCACGTTGACCCCCAAAAGGTGACTGGCCAAAGCTAGTGCTTCCAAATGCCGCTGCAGAAGATTGGGTTCCTACATGAGAACTCAAAAGAATTTAATTATATATATATATATATATATATGATATGATATGAACTTGTACTCAAAATGTGGAAGGCCTATGAAAATAAACATTTTTGCCTAAACTGTACAAGTAACTTCAAAGTTTATAATTAATCATGTAGACTTGATTGCTCACCAAAAGGAGAACCCTGAGCTCCAAATGAAGTTGTTCCAAAAGGACTACTACCAAATGCCGGCGTTGATTGACCAAAAGCTGGGCTAGACCCAAAGCTGAATGAAGGAGTGGAAGATGCTCCAAAAGCAGGAGTGCTTGAACCCCCAAAAACAGAACTAGAAGTTCCAAAAGCAGGAGTGCTGGAAGTTCCATAAGCAGGAGTGCTGGAAGTTCCAAAAGCAGGAGTGCTGGAAGTACCAAAAGCAGGTGTGCTTGATGCCCCAAATGCACCTCCAGTTCCAAAGACTGGGGCATTAGACATGCCAAATGCAGTTCCAGTGCTCCCAAATGCTGGACTTCCAGTTGAACCAAAGGCAGGGGTGCTCGTGGCACCAAAGGCAGGGCTTCCAGTTGACGAGAGAAGCCAGGAGTGCTGCGGCACCAAACGCAGGGGTGCTCGTGGCACCAAAAGCTGGGGTGCTCGTGGCACCGAAGGCAGGCGTACCGGAACCAAACGCAGACTGAGTTGAACCAAAAGGTGTGGAGGAACCAAATATACCACTACCAAATGAAGGCTGTGATTGCTGAGTTGTGCTTCCAAAAGGACTGGACTGAGTGGCTGTAGACCCAAAGCCAAATGCAGGCTTCTGACCAAAAACAGAAGGCCCTATCCAAAAAAAAGTCATCAGTTTAAAACTGAGGAAAAGACACCAAGTTACGCAAGAGCTAATGACCAAAAAGTCACATGCAAATAATTAAAAGACGATTACCATAAATTAGCAAATTAAATGTATATGAGAAATAGCGAGTGCTCCTTATGAAAAAGATGGCTCTCATTCAAGATCATGTTTAGGTGCTTAATGACAATTGAAACAAACAAACAAATCTCTTACTAATGAACACTAAATTCTTCCATCTCCATGATATTATAGTGCAACTAATTGTAATATAAATATATTTATATATGCATGTATGTATGTATGTATTTGCATAACAACTAAATGACCTACACGTATCTGATATTAGAACACTAGGAATAAAGCATCATAAAATACCAAAAGACAAAAAGGCATTACCATTCATTAATATATTTAACTAGAACAGAAAGAATATGAAATAAAGGAGAACTGAGTCATAACAATAGAAAGGAAAAAACATAGACACACTTACCACCAAAAGATGATGATGAACTGCCAAAAGCAGAAGTAGAAGAAGATCCAAAAGCAGGCATGGAACTTCCAAAAGCTGAAGATGATGAGGCACCAAAGGCTGTTGTGGAGGAAAAGGGAGAAGAAGCTTGGGTTGCACCAAACACTCCAGTAGAAGTACCCCCAAATATTGAACCCCCTGTTTGGGAGCCAAAAGGGGTTGGACTACCAAAGGAAGGTTTAGGTGCAAACGGATTGCTAGCTGCATTGTTGGTCTGGCCAAAAACAGATTGGGATGCAAATGGGCTACTTGATGATTGCCCAAAAGCTGTTTAAAGAGTTTCTAACAATTAACTTAGTTTTCCAAAAAGAAAAAACAAATTTATTCTCAAAAAGGATGACGTGTAACACATAGGTTAAAGACAACAACAATACATAAACACGAAAGAAAAATTACAAGCATATATATCACAGACAAAACACAAATAGTTGACCAATAACAAGCTTAACAATTTTGCTAATTAAAATATTACAACAAAAAGCAAACCAAGAAGCTATACAACCTACTAAACATTACTAGGGAACAGAGCACTATTGGGATACCAGTAAACACTTTTGCTGTGATAAAATGCAGTAGAGAAAATTGCCAAAAAGAATTATAATAAAAGAAAAGAATAACTTAAAAAAAGTAAGATAACAATCTGTGAATATCACGGATACAACATAAAAAAGCTTTTTGAACAACGAAGCTAATTTTCAACCTTCCGAATTTCGCAATGCCTATATAAAAGTTACTAGCACGAGCTTCCAGTTTTAAAAAGGAATGGAAGCAATTATACATTCATCAAAACATTAACTCAACCAATCAAATCAAAATCTGATTTCTAGCAGGAAGATTAAAGGTGAGAGAAAAAACTTACGGTTAGTTGTACCAAACATCTTCGTTTATATAGTTCTTTACCCCACAGGTTTTTGATCTAAAACTGATAAAAGAAAACGAAGCAGAAAGCAGATTAAACAAAGAGGGAAACTATAATAACTAATAAATAGATAAATAAATTCCACAGAATCTATGCGCAATTTGAATTAACGTTGGGAAAATAAATTAAATGCGGTAAACGTGATGCCATGAACCAAACTTGGGATCCATTTTTCCATTTATTTGCGTATCAAAAGAATCAATTTTTCAGTGGCGATTGAACTTTTTTTTTTCTTTTTTCTTCTGATTCATTTATTTAAACTAAAAACAAAAAATAAAAAAGCTAGACAAAGAAGAAAGAAGATGTACCAGGGAAAAAAGGTGCTCAATGCTTCAATGAATCGCGAATAAAGCGCTAGCTATTATAGGAACTTGCAATTGTGAAACCTATTATTAAAAAGAGAAAAAGAAGGAATCAGCATGCGTTATCGAGCAGTGAAGCAGTGAGAGTGAAAGAGAAAAATAAAATAAACACAGAGATGAGAAATTAGGGTTTCGGAAAAAGCTAACTTTTCGGGTCGATCTGAATCGGGAGGGGAGGAGAGAGCCCAGAAGTTTATTGTGTCGGAGAAATCAGTGGGAAGAGGAAGGGAGAGAGAGACCCCGTAAAAACCCAAACAAAGAGGGAAAAATGGAGCAAAGGGAGGGTTAAGTAGGGTCAGGTGATCCGCGTAGCGTTGATTTTAAGTCCGGATAGATAGATAGATAGATGGTAGAGTTGTTTTGGGTCGCAATAGCGTAGCGTTATTTTGCAGCCCTTGACAATCGCTGTTCGAAGAACAAAAATAAATCTTTTTTTTTACGAAAAAAATTAATTTTTAGTCATAAAATTTTTGTAAGTGAGATATTAATAAATCCAATAGTATTGCGGATAAATTAGGAAATTGATATTTTAATGATATTTAACAAATTATTTTATTAATTGACCACATTGTTAGTAATCAATAAAATTATTAAAACTGTCCCAAATTTTGATTTATTGTCCAATTCATGTATGTCATAAAAAATAATGGTAGGGATAATTTGGGAATAGATGATTATATGTAAGAAAATTTTTCTTGCCTCCTATCCATTCTCAATTATTTTTTCCTAAAGTCTTTTAAGTTTTTAGATTTTTTTTAAATGTTGATTTTAAGCCTAAAATAAATCGTAGGTTTTTGAGAAGCCAAAAGTTTCATGATTCTTTTAATTGATTATTTTCATTGTTTGTTCAAGAAAAAAAAAATCAAAGTTATCGAGAAGGAAAGAAAGGAATAAAATACTCAAGAAGGAAAGAAAAGAGAAATAAAAAAACAAAAAGAGGTCGAGCTACAAACAAAGAGGGCAGAAAGGGGGGAGCGAGAGAAGGGTAAGGTTTCAATCAAGCCCTTTCAAGTACTCAACAATCTAGCAATTATCAGGGTAGACCGACGCCTTTCATAACCCAAAATGTTTGAGGTTGGATGTCTGTCAACCGACGATGCAACCAAGGAAAAAAAAAAGAAAAAAAATCCTGTTATGTTTTTTTCTTAAATGAAATGATGGTTATAAATATTATTTCATTTTTTTTATCAGGATCGTGCCATTCTCGAGATGTCCTCCATGGATTCTGAATCTTTGTCCTCTAGTTGCAAATCTTCTATTAGGTAACCCCTGTAATGCTTTTCTCATTTTATTGAAAAATCTTTTCTCATTCAATGGTTATTTATATATTGGTAGGAAAACAAAACTAGGAACTCAGAAAAACTTGTATACCGATGGAATGAAAGGTCTGGTTCCTGATAAATATGGATCTAATGGTCCCCACAAGGAACATAAATTAGATTTGTTTGGTTTTGATTTTATTGTTAGTATTTTTTGTCTCAGAAGGTATGTGATTAATTTTCATTAATTCCTACTCTCGCATTTGTTTCAATGATTATAAGATGATTGTTCATTTTAGTACTTGCTAACTAATTTTCGAAATATGTAATTAAATAATGAATAATTTACAGTTTTAATGTTAAATAACTGAGAGAAAAACAAACATCAATATAAGTATTAAAATGCAATAGTTTCAATAAACTATTTGATTACTTTTTAGCTTCCATAAAAGAAGAATCAATTTAAGGAAATTATATTCCAACTCATTATACAAAAATTTATTACAAACCTCACTAATCAGTACTAAACATTTAAACAATAAAAACATGTAGATAAAAATTTCAATTATTATATCTTTCACTCATCAACTCAAGCTTAGTTAATTATTAAGCTTACAAAAAAAAAAAAGATTTAAGTGACAATAATTTTATGATTACCCACAGTAATAATATTTTGAAGAAGTATAACAAAGGAATTGTTGGTATGATTACTTTGAATCGTTGGGAATTACAATTTCTTTGCTCCATAATTTCAAATAGCCTGGATAAAATTCAAAGTCTGGTTGAAGACAAGTTTCAAGAAATTCGAAACACTGAGAAAAGCAATTTCCAGTTTCCTGGTCAGACTTGCATTTCAAAACATTTTCAAGTATATAGTGCTTAAAAAACCCTTTGGAATAAAATTATTTTATTCCTCAATATTTTCTTATTACAATGTTAGAATTGTATGAAAAAAATATATAAGCTAAAGACTAAATATTCATAGCCTTAAAACTTGAGATTTTCATGCATTAAAAAATTTAAAAACAACAGCTAATTAAAGAAAAAATTTACTTTCTACACATAATAGAAAAATAACTAAAGAATTTAGTGTAATTATCCAAATTACTCTTTATTTTAAAAATAAGAGACTTGACTAAAATAGACAAAGTCAAATAATCAAGCAATAACGAAGATTAGATTTTCACTCTCTTTTAAGCTGGGTGGTAGATGTCAATCATATCTAACTCAGATTTTAGATTCTCAAAGTTGTTTTGAGATAAAGCTTTAGTGAGTATGTCTACAGATTAGAGGCATGTAGGAGTATAAACTAATCTAACAATTCCTTCTTCTATAACTTCTTTGATGAAGTGACGTTCAATCTCCATATGTTTGGTCTTGTTATGATGAATAGGATTTTTTGGTAACTTACTTCATGGATTCTTCTGCAAAGACCTTTAACTCCCTAAGTAACTTTTTTAGCCAAATTCTTTCACATATGCCATGAGACATAAAGCTAAACTCAACTATTGTACTACTTCTAGCCACCACATATTACTTTCTACTTCGCCATATAACCAAATGTCCCCAAACATAGGTATAATAACCAATAAGTGATCTTCGATCGATCACAGATCTGGCCTTATCAGCTTTAATGTAAATTTCAACATTTGGCTTGATGTTTTCTTAAAAAAAATAACCCTTTGCTAAAACTCTTCTTTTGGTACTGTAGGATTCGATACATAATTTTTAAGTGTTTCTCAGTTGGATTGTTCATAATTAAGAAACCACATTATAGATCGAGTGTTGAGTACATGATCTCATACATTTTCTTAGAGCAATTGATTAATTAAGATCATTAAGAGGTTCAATAGAATCAGATTCAATAAGGGTGTTACCTATGTGAATTTCAAGTACCTTTGAAATCGATTTAAATTCTTGGTTTTACTTTGAAAATGTATATTTTCGTAGATCCTTCTGAGTTTTATATCTTCTTAAATAGATAACCTATAGATACTCTATTTTGTCTGAAAAAATTATTCAAAACTGAAATGGGCCTTTGATTGTAAATTGGGTTTGATTGAAAAACTTTGGGCCTAATAGGGTAAAAATCGAAAAATTTTAATTTTAATTTTAATTTGATGTTGATTTGATTTGAATTTGTTTTTGGTTTAATTTTACTTTTTAGTGAACGGTAAAAATAAAAAGTAAAAAAACCTAAAAAGACAAGAACGTGGGATTTTCCATTTAGTTATGATTCTTAATTCAGTCTTTTGAAAGTTTGGGGTTTAAGTCATGCAAAACCAAATCACAAAAATTAATTCATAAAAAAATTAAATCAAATAAAATCACAAATTTAGGGGAAATTGATTTTTTTCCCAAATTGAAATAGCATGTATCTCTTTATAAAAGACAAAAATATGATTATGGGAAAGGCAATTAACAATTTCGAGCAAGCACTAATTAAAATTTTTTGGTTTTTTTGTGGAATTTTAGGATTTATTTTGGAATTTTGTTTTTTTAGGATTTTGATTTGGTTTGAACTGTAGCTCTATTTATTTCTAGATCTGGAGATTTTTTTTTGTTATGATAATTTTGTTTTTTTTTTTTGGATTTTGAAAATTTTTAAAATTCTAAGAATTTTTCTAGGAATTTTTGGTTAAATTCTGGGTTTTTCTGAGTTGGATTTGAACTCTAGGTAATTTATGGGTTTTCTATGAATTTTTTTATTGAAGTTTGAATTTTTTTGGCAGGTATCACGGTAGTTGAATGAATTTGCGATGGATTTTTTTGGGTTTGTGAGGGTTTTTTTTAGTTTGGCTTGAATTTTTCGATGCTTTTTAAATTTTTTGGCATTGAAATATGGGAATTTGGTCGATTGCTTGAGAAAGTTGAAGTTTTTGGTAAGGGTTTTCTAAAAAAAGGTCAGAGAATTTTAGAGCTAGAGAGAGAAAGAGTATGGTGTTTATAAGGAAAATCAAAGTTTTTTGCCTTTTATAGTGAGCGAAAAATGATGTTGTTTTGAAGAACCACTAACCACTAACCTGCGTGAAGATCTGCACATCAACCCGACTTGGATTGCAAGTTTCCTTTTTTTTTTTCTTTTTTTTTTATTTTGATTTTCTTTTTTCTTTAATTTTTTTGGTTATATTTCTTTGATTTCTTTTATCTTTTTTTTTTTGTTTTTGTTTTTATTTTTTGCTTATTAGTTTAATTTTGTGATTAAATTAATGTATGAGGAAAAAAGAAAAAAACTTTGATAGGATTTTCATCGACTTAAAGATTTTTAAATTATGAATTCTACCAAACATTTGGTGAATTCCATAATGAATTTTTGATAAAATAAAATTTTTAATCCTACCAAACTATTAGAGGATAATTTTTGATAAAAAATCTTATCAATATATTGGAAGATGTTTATGAAAATAAATTATTTTTATAAAAATTAGATTTTAAATCTCCAATAATAGAATTACTAAGAGCGTTGCAAATAGCAATCTCTATGTAAATTCTTAGGTGAGAAAATCTTTTCTAAATTTTACGAACGTATTGGAGAATTTCGATAAGAATTTTTTATACCAAGGTTCTAAATCTCGTTATCACAAATAAAAGTTTTTACCAAAAAATAAATGAATCCAACAACGAAGCTTCTTCAAAGTGGGATACTAGTCTCTATGAATACTCCTGAGGTAAGAAAATTATCTTAACTGTTACTAAACTAATAGAGTAATTTTAAGATCAATTTTTAATAATTAAATTATTTGGTAAATTATAAAGATGTTTTAAGGCTTGGATAATTTGAAATCAAATTAGTACCATATTTTTGGTTGGTGTTGTGAGGCTGCTATAACCTTTCTTATACGTAACCTTACTCCTGAACCTAAATCTAGTTTCGTAGACTAAAATCTACCATTTAAAGATACTTAAGTTAAGTTTGTGGCCCATCTTTAAGATGTGATAGATTTAGTTAGGTAGCCAATCATACCTAAATAAAAAAGATTTGTGATAACTCCTAAAGTCAAGTCTAGCGATAGATTTA